ACCCGGATCTACTAGCATCCGCACGCGCTGTACTTGCGGCCTTGGAAGACAGCCCCGTCCTCACGTCCACGTCCCTCCTCACGCATGCGTCCGCGCATGTGCCCTCTCCCTCGTTCTCTGTCGCCGCCGAGACTGGCTTCTCCTCCGCCACTGTCATTGTGCCCGCGTTCGCCATCGCGCCCACCATCACGCCCACTATCATGCCCACATCCATGCCCATTCTTGTGCCCGCATCCACCCATCCACCTGCGCCTGAGCCGCCTGTCTCTGCGGAGCCTGGCCTCTCCTCCGCCACAGTCCTTACGCCCGTGTTTGCCATCGCGGACACGTCCACCGCCGTCGCGTCCACCCAGGCGCCCACGCGCGCATCCACCCAGGCGCCCACGTGCGCGGCCATGGCCACATCCGCTGTCGCAGCTGCGTCCACCACCATCGCGTCCGCGCCCGCCGATGCGGCGGCATCTACCGGCATGCCCACATTCGGCATCACCTCTGCGTCCTCCACCATCGCGTCGACAGAGTCCACCGGCACCCATGCTCCTGCGGACACGCCTACTCGCCCGGCCGTAGTCCGGACTCGTTTTAACGACGCGATGGAGGCGGCGTCCCGCGTGTGCGAGCGCAACACGCTTACGGAGATCGTTGGCATACCTCCTGAGCGTTCGGTTGAGGTAGGGAGCGAGTGGGTTGAGGTGATAAGGGACTCGAGCGACGCTGGTGAGGATTCAGATGGGTCCCTGCCGCTACTGCGGACCCCATCGGACTCGGATGACGAGTCCGATGATGACACTTGGTAACACAAGTGCTTAAAGTAGTGAACAAGTGTATATATACATGCTCCTGTGTCTATAGTGCGTGAATTAGATTGGAGGATCTGTGGGTGGAGCCACGGTTCAACCGTTTTTGGTCCCCCTCTGAACCGGAGCTGCATCGAGCCGGAGCCGGACCGAGCCGGAGCCGCATGGCTCACGATCCGCGGCTCACGGGTCCGGATCATCGCGACTCTACCCGCGAAGTGAGCCGGACCTCCAAACAGCCTTAGGGTGACCTGAGGTATGCCAATCTAAATGCCCAGCACGGCGTAGCTATTGTCCCTGGCGTCTGCAGCTGACATTTCTGTTAATCGCTTAGAGCCTAGAGATGCCCATTTCATCGCATGGATGGATTTCTGCCTTGCCGGGCAGCCATGAGGACGGTAAAGAGGCGCCATACGCGGTGAATGACGGAAAACTGACATCTTATCCCATCTTAGGTCATATTTTGTCGCTAAAAGAGCATGCTTGGGGCGGTCATGAGGGTTTTCAGAGCTGTCAGAATGCCCCACATGCCCCACATGCCGCAGTTGTTTTGCCAATTAGAACCCAAGCTCATTGAAGCCCGTTCGGCCCAGCCTAAACGCCAAACAAATCAAAGCCCGTCTGCCAGCTTGCGCAGCTCATCTGGCCTCCAGCCTCCGGTTCTCAGCCTGAAATCTGCTGAGGTAAGCACTTTCTCTCTGTTCATATAAGATGGCACGCTCATCGACGCATTCTCTCACCAGGCTCCCAAGTTCACCCTTCTCTAGGCCGTTGTCGTATCCTCTCAACTCTTGCAACCACTGGTACCCATCTACAACCTGTCTTCAATGCGTCCAGAAAACCGTGGCAATGACGGTGATACTGCCATACAGGGGACTGCTAGTGGGTTGCTTGAAGGTATGTTCGATTGTTGTTGCTGTACTCCGTCCTCGGATTTTTCTGACATCGTAATTACTAATGATACCTGCAGCTCCACAAACCCCCTGTCGTGGCCCGCCTCGCAGCCAATGTACGCTGTCTATTTTTCAGTTGGCATCTAGACTAGATAGTACGTCAGATCTCTTTCTACATTCTCTGGCTCCTTTGTTAAGGCTCTAACCACGGTAGTAGGCAGGGTCTCTGCGGCGCAGGACACTCCCCAAATGGCCAAGATTTTCCCCATGTGGATTAAAGGTATGTTGACTCTATTAGCTTCGCATTCAAGATACTAATTTGCCACCTTAGATCCGCTCACCCATGCGGATGAAAATTCAGCAAACAACTCCGGAGAATTCATTGACATTGACGTTTCAGATACCAACAAAGGCTCGCCCTCCCCTAGTACAGAGAATCGCCCTGGCTTGCCTCACTCTGGGCCGTGGCCAGCTCTGGGTTTTGTGCCCCCTTCACACATGCTCACAACGGAGTCATCCACTTCCTCCATCCCACGCATCACACCGCTCGACACACCGGCGCCTGCAGCAGAGGCTTCTATCACTCCGACGACCTCCTTCATGTCAGCCACAGCTGCAGCTCTCACTGTCCCCATCAACATCCCCATTCTTGAAGCTGCTCGTGGTCGTGGTCGCCGTGGCCGTAGCTGTGGTGCTGTTACACCAGCCACCAATGTTGAAACCCCCGTTGTTGAAGCTACTTGTGGTCGTCGTCGTGGTCGGGGCCGCGGTGATGGCATTGTTGCCTCTACCTCGGCCGACACTTTCATTGTTGAAACTGCCCACGGCGGTGGTGGCCTCCATGGTCACCGAGGTGGTGCTCCTGCTACCACCACTCTCACTCCCACCCTTGCCCCCATCGTCGAAGCTGCGTATGGTGGTAGTGCCTACAGTGAGGCCACTGCTGCTACCCTAGATGCCCCCACTACCACCTGTGGTTACCCCAAATGTAATACAATACCCCAGGAACCTGCAAAACTCGTTTTGCTAATCCCCACCACGTTGTCATTGTACTATATACTCACTAGGGCATTGTAATAGGCCCTAAGTCTAATGAAAGAGCGTCCCCAGCCTTGTAATAAGTCAATATCATAATGAAAAGTGTTCCCAGAGCTGTAATAAGTCACAATTCTAATGAAAGAGCATCCTCAGAGCTGTAATAAGTCAATATTCTAATGACAGGAACCTCCCAGCCTTGTAATAAGTCTATATTCTAATAACAGGGGCCTCCCAGAGTTGTAATAAGCCCCGTTTCTAATGACAGCATGTCCCTAGGGCTGTAATAAGTTAATATCTTAATGAAAAAGTGTTTCCTTCTTTGTAATAAGCCTTGTCTCTAATGAAAAAAGTTTCCCAGGCTTGTAATAAGGCCATATCTTAATGAAAAGAGTTCCCATGCCTGTAATAAGTCAATATCCTAATAACAGCAGCCTCCCAGGGCTGTAATAAGTAGATATCCTAATGACAACAGCCCCCCAGGCTTGTAATAGGTCCCGTTTGTAATGACAGAACATCCCCAGGGTTGTAATAACTCACGTCAGATACTGTCCAGCTATTAATAGCTTCATATCATGGCCGGCCTGGCCAGCTATTAATACCTGGTATACAGGTACCCTACCCTGCCCTGCAGCCCCCAATTGGGTGAATAGCAGCTGCCTACAAGATAGCTATCAATGATAACAGTTCCGAGAGTTGTATCAGTTTAGGCAGTAGAGAATGCACGTACTGCAGCAAGCAGCGTGGCGATCGGAGCAACGGTTGTGGAGCTATGAATGAAGGGGTGTTGAATGTGCGCAGATGCGCAGGGACATGTTCAGAGTGTTTCACGTCCAAATGACACCCAGAGCGTGTTTTCATATGCGTATGTAAGAGACTGCAACAAACCAAATGCTTATCGGGGAATGTGGTGCAGAGATATAAAGCCATCAAAAGTGCTGTGGCTGAAGCGTAATCAGCGATCTAATACAGATTGTGTGCATCGTTTCGCGGTCGGACTTCAATCCCATTTATTGGAGAGAGAACCACACACCATGCAAAAGAACGGAGGGGATCCATCCACAATTCCCAATTCTAGTGGATGTGCCCATCAGCAAAAACAGGGGTACACCTGCATCTCCACCAATACTGCTCCGAATGGCATGCTCTTGGATGCGTTTGGAAGCTACATGATGCCTCTTTTGATCCATATATAGTGCCTGGCTATTTTCCTATCCCACCCAGCTGTGCAACCCCTACTGTTTACGTGTGGGAACCAGCTATTACACCCTATTCCAGCTGCAGGAACCTGCTGCTATCCACTGCTATTGATAGCTATCTTGTAGGCAGCTGCTATTCACCCAATTGGGGGGCTGCAGGGCAGGGTAGGGTACCTGTATACCAGGTATTAATAGCTGGCCAGGCCGGCCATGATATGAAGCTATTAATAGCTGGACAGTATCTGACGTGAGTTATTACAACCCTGGGGATGTTCTGTCATTACAAACGGGACCTATTACAAGCCTGGGGGGCTGTTGTCATTAGGATATCTACTTATTACAGCCCTGGGAGGCTGCTGTTATTAGGATATTGACTTATTACAGGCATGGGAACTCTTTTCATTAAGATATGGCCTTATTACAAGCCTGGGGAACTTTTTTCATTAGAGACAAGGCTTATTACAAAGAAGGAAACACTTTTTCATTAAGATATTAACTTATTACAGCCCTAGGGACATGCTGTCATTAGAAACGGGGCTTATTACAACTCTGGGAGGCCCCTGTTATTAGAATATAGACTTATTACAAGGCTGGGAGGTTCCTGTCATTAGAATATTGACTTATTACAGCTCTGAGGATGCTCTTTCATTAGAATTGTGACTTATTACAGCTCTGGGAACACTTTTCATTATGATATTGACTTATTACAAGGCTGGGGACGCTCTTTCATTAGACTTAGGGCCTATTACAATGCCCTAGTGAGTATATAGTACAATGACAACGTGGTGGGGATTAGCAAAACGAGTTTTGCAGGTTCCTGGGGTATTGTATTACATTTGGGGTAACCACAGGTGAGTAATGTACCAATATCTCGGTCACATTCCCACCAAATCACACACAGATGGCATCGTTAGAAAGGCGCTTCAATTGGCTTTTGAATGATACAGCTTCTGTAGTAGGTACGCACAAATATGAGCTATTGCTCAAGAATCTGCGGATAACCCGCGGATAGAGCCGCAGAGAGCCGGAGCCGCCCGGCTCATGATCCCCAGCTCACGGCTCCAGATAATCGGCTCATGACCCGCGAAGTGAGCCGGACCCGCGAACAGCCTTATGCTGGTTTCACACATCCCCAGCGCACTGCTGACTCGTCCGGTGCCAACGCTGCTGCCACCATCGCTGCCGTTCTTGCTCCCAACCCTCGCCCACCACCACAGCCCAAGCCTGTATGGGATGATACTAAGCCCTTTTACACGGTTGATCCTATTGCAGATAGAAGGGTCTGCTGCTATTGCGGGTGAGTGCAGTGGTATTATGTCTTGTGGTGATTCACCCGGTGCTCACTGTCCTACTCTAGACAAAAGAGTTTCGCCTCAGGTACTAGCTCCCATGGGGCCAGGGCTCACCTTATCAAAGAACACGGAGACCTTTGGTATCGAGACTGTCTGAGAAGGGGCATTGAACCTACGGCAGACGCGTCTAAGATCTTCTGGCAGGGAAGCAACGTGAGCAGTTTCAAGACCATACACCTTTGCAGATTTACGGTCTCCCAATAGCTGAGGAAGAACAGCGCCGCCCGAGCTTCTCTGTCGATGCCCTTGTGGACGCAATACTGACATGGATTGTGTCTGATGATCAGGTATGATACTCAGAGCAGCAGGCCTTGTAAACCGTATTCATACTGCTTACTAACCTATCGTTTATCAGTCTCTCCGTGTTGTGGAGAACCAGGCCTTCAGAAATATTATCCTGCTTTGTCGGAATGATCTCCGGGACAAAGACATTCCCAAGCGAGACACCCTTCGGGCCCGTGTCATCAACACTGTCGACAAGTACTTTGGTACACTGGGACAGCAGCTGCAGGTGCGTCCTGGATATTCTTGTTGTGGAATTAGTTTTGATATTTTGTTAGAAATCGGCTGGGAAGATCTCTTGTAGTTTCGATATCTGGACAGATATGATAAATCGGTCTTACTTGGCAGTAGTAGCGCACTGGATCCACGAACCTCCCCCGAAACTAATTGATGGTGTCCTCGTCCGGCGCCCATATCAGCCCATGATGGCCCTTATCGCATTTGTACCTATGAACGAAGGTCACACCGGCGTTCAGATTGGACACGCTCTGGCGGTTGCATATTGTAAGCTTGGTATACTCAGAAAGGCAAGGGTGTTATGCTCGTCTCCCAATTCTGTTATTGATAACCTTCTACAGCTCAGGAATGGAACCTCAGACGGGGCGTCCAACAACACAGTTGCGATGAGGGCACTCGGAACCATGTTCCTCATCCAGAATCCAGATCTCACCTATGACGAGAAGCAGCGACGCCTCTTGTGAGTAAGCTCTTGTATGACTCAGGTGGTCCGAGTATTTATGCAGAGTACACAGCTGCTTCGCGCATGCAATCACGCTTTCATCAGGTGATGCCATCACTATCTTGGAATCTCGTCATGGTGCTGGGGTCCTTAAGCAACTCAGAGACCTTGTCAACACAGTGAGTTGTCAGTCTTATCAGGAATAGTTTTATTGATCTAACTGAAGTTGTTGGCTTACTAGATCAGGGCTTCTATCAAGCTAAGAGAGGTGTTTATCAAAAAATCGGCTGAATATAGTGAAAACGGTCTTCCTCTACAAATCTTGAAGGACTCTAAGACACGCTGGACTTCAACCAAGATTATGGTCAAGCGAGCCATCAAGCTCAAGTCGGTGAGTGTGTTGCAGATTGATGTTTTTCTTATTCAAATACTAACGAGATCTGAATTCCTGCAGGCACTGATAGATCTCTGCACTACGAAAAACACTCTTTCTCAGTTGGCACTCTCAGAAGTGCAGTGAGAATACCTCAACAAGATGTTGGTGGTTCTCAGTGTATGCCCGCTTTTACCCGCATCAACTACACTCCCACTAATTGTGATCCAGGTGGCGTCACGTTTCCAGCAGGCCCTATCCGGTCATCAAATCACTCTCCAAGGTCCTGATGTGCTTCTGGGAACTCCAACACAACTGGGAGTATCTCGGAGAGCATCTTCCGATCCTGTGATTGTCTTAGCAGCGCAGGCAGCACTGGATAAGGTGACTAAGTATATGGATATCGCATCGGCAGAGCAGCTGCTAATCGCCGGGAGCATCCGTTGCGACAGCCTATCGGCAGGGGTGGATGTATCCGGTGATCCGTGATGCGCGCCCGTGGAGACGCGCCTCG